GTGACATGGGCTGGGGAGGTGGGGTCCCTGCGCAAGGCGGGCTGGGGCAGAGGGGCCTGGGGCCCCCGGGCAGGGGGCCCTGGGGCCGGTAGGGCTGGGGGGGTGTGTAGGGCCTGGACCAAGGCACGTGGTGCTGGTCCCGGCTGACGGCGTGGCCGGGAGGAGGTGGGTGGCTTGGCCCCCTTGGCAGAGAGCTGGGCTCTGGCTGCCTGCCCGGGGGGAGCCCTGCCCCGGGCGGGGGGAAGGGGTGCGGGGAGCTCTGTTCTGCCCCAGCCGTGCCCACTGCAGCTCCCGACCCACGCTGCGGTCCGTCCCTGTGTCACCTCTCCTTGGCCACCATGGCAGTGCCCACGTGTGTGCTTCTGCTTTCCCTGGGCGTACCAGCTCCCGTCCCCAGGTCTTGTCCCCTGCCCCAGCCCCTGGGGCCAGGGCAGTGTGCTGCTACCAGGCGAGGGCTAAACGCAGACACAAAGCATCCTCCTTCCAGTGGGGTCCTGGGGGAGAGGGCCTCGCGCTGGGGAGATAGGGCTGCAGCAAGACCTCACAGGGTGCTCGACCACAGGAGGATGGTGGCCCAGATGGGCTGGGTTTGGGTCCCTGGTGCCAGCTTGTGCCACCTTGCCAGCAGCAGGAGTGCATCCTGGGTGCGGGTGCTTGTGCTGGAGGGGCTTTTCTGTTTAGGCAAGGTTGCCTGGGAGGCAGGCTGAGCTAAGCCAAAAAGATCCTCTTATTCTGGACAACAGTGGTGTGAGTGCAGTGGGAGCCACTGACCGCAGGGACGTCGTGCCCTGGCCGCAGGCGGTGGGACAGGGCTGGCCGGAGGGCAGGCGAGGCATGGGGGAAGGTGGGGGCTCCATGGGGACACATCCCTTCCGCTTGCCCCGGGCAGCCCTGCCACCTGCTGCCCTTGCATCAGCTCGTGCGTAAGCTGCCGAAACCGGCGGTGGCGGTGGGGTATCTCCTCTTGCGTCTTCTTTGGCTGGGAGCTGGGGCACGGTCCTCGTAATTTCCTCCCCAACCTCTGGTGTCAGCTGCTCTGCCGGGACTTTGTGCAATTCCTTGGCTGTCCCACGCTGCCCCTCGACATCACCCTCCTGCCTCACTTCCCCCAGCAGCTCTTGCTATGGGGCTGCAGGGTGCTCTGAGCACCGGCCACCATGGACTTCAGGGGCTCATAAGGTTTGGGGGAGTGGGGGTCCCACAGGAGAGTGGGCACAGCGCAGAGGTTTGGTGGGGCAGAACAATGCTGCATCTCTGCCAGCCCTTGAGGGAGAGCTCTGCCGGGTGCCAAGGACCTGGTTTGTGGGTGTGTGGTGGGGGATGCTGCTCGGGGGAGCCCGCCCTTGCCCAGCAGTGGGCCAGGGGGGCTGCTGACATCCCACCATGCTGCCTGTGTGTTGCTGTCTCCCAGGGGCCCATGGACCCCTGTGGGACGGTGTGGGTGCTGCCACAGGGTGCGGCTCTGTTTGGGGACCTGCCTAGGACCAGGTGGCAGACGGGTGCTGTGGCACCAGGGGTGGAGGAGGCAGTTCTGTCCCCTGCCTGTCCCCTCGCCCTCCCCAGCTGGCGCTGCCCCATGCTGCCGTGTTTACCCTGGCTGTGGCTGTGCTGACTCCCCCCAGATCAGGGAGGTCCCAGCCTCACCCCTGCTCCCTGGGTCCCCTCCACCCACCTGGCTGGCAGCAGGGAGGGAGCAGGATGTGGATGGGAGTGCAGGGAGGCGGCGCTGGGCAGGGCACATGGTTTTGGGAAGTTGGCTGCCTGTGCAGGGCTGTGTTTGTAGACCTGTGGGTAAGGGAAGGGATGTTGGTGCTGGGAGAGGGGCAGGGCTGGGGTGGCGGCTGGTGGTTTGGGGGTCCCGGAGCGGTGCACATGGATTTGCTCAGTGCGTGTTTGCCTGCCCCATCCCCGCAGGGTTTGAGCCAACTGCCTGGCCAGGATGAGCTGGAGTTTCCTGACGCGGCTCCTGGAGGAGATCAACAACCACTCGACCTTCGTGGGCAAGATCTGGCTGACCGTCCTCATCGTCTTCCGCATCGTGCTGACGGCCGGGGGGGGCGGGGCCATCTACTACGACGAGCAGAGCAAGTTTGTCTGTAACACACAGCAGCCGGGCTGCGAGAACGTCTGCTACGACGCCTTCGCCCCGCTCTCCCATGTCCGCTTCTGGATCTTCCAGATCATCATGGTGGCCACGCCATCAGTGCTCTACCTGGTTTTTTTTTCAGTGCTCTACCTGGGCTTTGCCTTGCACCGCATCGCCCGCATGCCCGAGTCCTCGCGGCGCCGGGCACCAGCAGCCCGGCGGGCACGTATGCCGGTGGTGCGCCGGGGAGCCGGGCGGGACTACGAGGAGGCGGAGGACGATAATGAAGAAGACCCCATGATCTTTGAGGAGATCGAGGTGGAGAAGGAGAAGAGCCCAGAGGGCGGAGAGAAGCATGACGGCAGGCGCCGCATCAAGCAGGATGGGCTGATGCGTGCCTACGTCCTGCACTTGCTGTGCCGCTCGCTGCTGGAGACAGCTTTCCTCTTTGGGCAGTACCTGCTGTACCGCTTCGAGGTGAGCCCCTCCTACGTCTGCAGCCGCAGCCCCTGCCCACACACCGTCGACTGCTTCGTCTCCCGCCCAACCGAGAAGACCATCTTCCTCCTCATCATGTATGCCGTCAGCGGGCTCTGCCTCTTCCTCAACCTCTGCGAGCTCGTGCACCTTGGTGTGGGACGCATCCGGGACGCCCTGAGCCAGCCCGACAGCCCCCCGCTCCCAGCGGGCAGCAGCCCTATGCCGCAGTACCCCAAGAAAGCCCCCGGCGCACCCCCCACTTACCACTCGCTGAAGAAGG